TTGCAAATTATTTTTTTATTTTTTATTTTTTTTATGTTTATCTGTAGTCAATGACTGATGCTCTGGAAAAGCAAGTGAAGAGCAAGGTCACTATTAAGGTAAGCTTCTTTTTGGTGCCGGCAGGAATAAATTATAGGATCCATCAGATATTATGCCAGATGGAGAAAGTAGTCCTTTTTTTTTTTTTTTTTGCATTTTCTGTGAAAGTAAGCAACTTAATTATGCTAGGAAACTAATAATAAACAAGAACATTAATTTAGGTGGTTGGTTTCCATTAAAGTGACCATTTTTTCATAGAAGCCGTTCAGCGGGCTCTGACTTAGGGTCTGTACTTTTATGAAAGAAAGGAAAGAAGGAGGTCTTCTTTGGAACATTCTGGTAGGAGTAGGAATACCCTAAATTCAGAGGGCTTAGCTTCTCTTTTTATCAAATTTAATACATGCCTTTATGTTCTCATCATAGAAGGAAATTTTGATTGGGCTTGTTCCTGGATTGGCAATGAATAATTATAGTCTGTGCTGATGGCTGTGTAATCGTAAGGCCTTTGTATATGGATCTTATTGTGTTGATCTCTAATATATTTTTGTTAATATATCACCTATATAAATGGAGATCCCACACAAACAGTACATCATTGATGAGTTGGTGTCTGCATGTTTGTCTCTCTCTCTCTCCCCTCTAGTGTTTTTTCCTTTTCAAATTTACATGGAGGGAGTTTGAGATGTTCAAAAATAATGGTGAATTATATTCAGACCTTTGCAGTTTAAATTTCCCATAGGATTGATAATGATGGTAGAAATGCTGAATATTTTGGGATAATTCTTGTATCACTTTAATTTTCAAACACAGGCATATTTAGCACTTAACTTTGGGCAATTTTAATCCTATGTAAGATTGCAAAGTATTGGAAATTGTTTTGAAACGTTGAAGTTGGACTAGCAGTTGTAGACACAAATTTCTATTTCCCTTTTCAATTCTACAATATGCCAAGAACCATTTCCATGCACGTTCTATCTACTATGCATGTTGTTCTCTGCAAACATCTAGGGAATTAGGATGTTACTGTTTACTTGACCTTGTCTAACTTTCAATCAGTTGTTATGTGATAATATAGTGTTCTGCATTTTGAATGATTTTATTGAGTCAATTGTATTTTGTGCTAGTTTTGTAGTGAGACAAATAATTAGCACATCGAATATGACTTACACTTGATCTTCACTAAATATGAGGAATATGAGGTTTAGTGCACCACTGAAGCTGCTTAGAATGGGATAGAACCATAAACATGAAATTGAGCTGTGTGAAAAGATTAACAGATTAACAGGAGAATACCTATCATGTGGTTTGATGCAAATTTTAACAGGAGAATTATCTTTCATGTGGTTTGAAGCAAATTTTGTAGAAATTTTTTATTTGAAATCTTGCCAGGGCAAGATAATGATAGCATTCGTGTTGTAAATGACAATTAATAAGCTTTGATGTTGATAAGGAACATATTTCTGCTTTTAAATGGGTGACTTTGTGTGAACTTTTCATGTATCTCACTGTTACAGTTTTGTGGAGAACTGTGGCCAGAAAGTAGCATCGTGATTGAAGTTACATTTGCATAATTTCTGTAATTATTAGAGGAGGTCTTAATCTTGTTATTCTCCTTGATGGAATGCTTGTAGTAATTAACTAGATCAGGAAGTTGAAATAATAATATTTTACTGTTTCAACAGTGCCATCCTGTTTGAGATCCCTAAAGTTTTCTTCTATTTCACAAACTTCCTGACTTGAGTAAACGCCATTGGTTGGTAATAAAGGCAACTACCTCCATGTCAACAGTAGAAAAGCTGCATCTGGTTTATGAGACCCTAAAGTTGTCTTCTATTTCACAAACTTCCTGACTTGAGTAAACGCCATTGGTTGGTAATAAAGGCAACTACCTCCATGTCAACGGTAGAAAAGCTGCATCTGGTTTATGAGACCTTAGTAGCACTTCAAATTTAATTTTGGGAACTTACATCTTAGTTCTTGAATCATGCATGTAATCATTCTTGTTTATTTAGTTGAATCTTTTCTCTTAAATTTATAAAATTGCATGATTATTTTGGGTAGCAGTGCAATGTGAAAGCTCAACTAGAATTGCACGATTGTAGCTGATCAACCTTGTGTATGCTACAGGGACATCTCCATACCTACAGATTCTGTGACAATGTCTGGACCTTCATCTTACAGAATGCTACCTTCAAGAACGAGGAATTTGAGGATACTGTCAGCCGAGTGAAAATTGTGGCGTGTGACTCAAAGCTGCTTACGCAATGAGACATTCATGACTGACATGTTGAATGGTAGTAGAAAAGGGATGATTGTCTCATTATGTATGACTTTAAAGCCATCAACCTTTATTCAGTGAATTTTCCGTTCTTCATGATGGACATTGTTGAAAATCTAAGAGGAAGAAAAATGACATCATGTGCTGTTATTTCTGTTGTTGCACCAGTTGCTGAATTTGAACCTGTAGGTATTGTACTTATTCTTGTAATTCTGGTATAAATTAATTCATGTAATGAGTTGTCTGTTCAATCTTCCCTGAATAAGCTGCCCCTGATCCTCTTTGATGGTTTTCTTCCTGCTTCGGTGCCTCACCTTACAAATTTTATTAAATTTAAATCTGCCGACATTTTGCTTGAATTATTATGTTATTAGTATTGTCGACTCTCTGCTGCTTTGCAATTGCATACACTTTCAAGGAAAGGGACCCCGAACCAAAAAATAATAAATTAATAAAATAAAGCAGAAAATAATAAGAGGATAAAATAAGGATTAAAGTCAACTATAGTTCCTCTACTTTCAATTTTCGTTCATTGTTCTCCTTGTACTTACATTTCGTTCAAAGTCCTCCCTCTACTTTTCCGAACCAGGCTATAGTCCTCCCTCTACTTTAACTTTTCATAACATTTACCTCCCTCCCCTAACACCACACTAACACCGTTTCTAACTCCCATCTCACGGAAATATCTTGGAAGGTTAAGTGTGATGGTTTCTTTTTTTGTTTTTTTTTTTAATTGTGTTATGGAAACAAAAATCTTGCATGGTTTATGTACTTGATTAATTAAAAAAAGTAACTCACAATGTATTTTTCCATAATCAATCAACTAAAACTAGGAATTGTTATCACATCCTAAAGTGTGTTTTTCTTTTTTTCCATCACATCTTAAAGTGTCAAGCATTATTTGTTAGTAATATGTTGTATAGTATTGTAGTTAAAAGTTTTGTCTTTTATTATATAAAAAATATATAAAATATTAATTAAAATTAATCAATAATAGTATAATTATAATGTCACATAGGATTATAAATGTATAATCATTATGACATTAAATGAGTGTGACATGTTATTAAATGAATGAATACATATAATACCACAAGTGGATTTTAAGTGAAAAGGATTAATTATATAATAATATATTATGTTGCAAATTTATAATGTTATATAACGTTGTAACAATATTATTTTCTAAAATTAATAAAATTATATACAAATTAATTAAAATTGATTAATAATAATCAAATTGCATTTTAGATAAGGTGCTAAATGAAAAAGGTTTATGGAAACTATGGTTAAACAAAACTTTAATATTATACAATTTTTAACCATATTTAGGCTTGGTTTGGTAGTGTTGTATTGTGCTCGTAGATATTTTTTATCTTTTAATATCTTAAAAATATTTAAAATATTAATTAAAATTAGTATAAATATATTGAAAAATTAATTAAAATTAATAAATTTACATTTTAGACAAGGTGCTGTTGAAAAAATGTAAGAAGTATGGTCAAATAAAACATTAATTTAGTTGTTAATAATAACTAATAGATAATATTTTATATATAATGATTAATAATTATTATTATTTATAATTTAAATGCCCTTATTCATCTAATTAAAGAAAGAAAGTATTAACTATTTCTTAATAACTATCCATAAAAAATATATATTTCTTAATAACTTAGTCAAATATGGCCTAAAATTTTGAAGACATCATTCATATTAACTTTCAATTATATTAATAGATTAAAAAAGACAAAAAAAAGCCAATAATCTAAATAATTTAGTAGTGATTTCTTTTTAGTGAAAATAAAAAATCATGAGTTTGAATCCAATAATGTGTGAGTAAGGTGGGTTAAAAAATAAAAAAGAGTTAACTCCTATTACATAACTCAAAATAAAAGAAAAGTTAAAAAGAATAATTTAACATGAAATTAATACTAATAAGATGTGATAATAAAATCCCTTAATAGTTGTTAAGAAAAGAAACAAATAAAAATAGAAAAACTAAAGTTTTGTTTAAATGATTGTGTGTATTGATAATTAAAGAATAATAAAATTAATTACTAGTTAATATATACTTATTAAATTAACAGATTTTGAGTCTTTTTCTTCCCTTGTCTTGGTTTGTAGGGCTCACAAACACAAATTTTTTTTTAAAGGGAAATTAGCACACTTAAGATCTAAGATTTTTTTTTTTTTACTATAAAAAACATGGTTAGTAAGTTAGTATTTATTTAAGTGCCGATCGAGGAGTTGATTTGATGATCAAGTGTTGCGCTCCAACTTACTTCTCTCATAGAGAAACATGACTACTTAAACCATGTTGGGGAATGCTAACAATGCTAACGGTCCAAGATGTTTATGTGAGATGGAAGTTGGAAACGGAGTTAGAAACGGTGTTAGTGTGGTGTTAGGGGAGGGAGGTAAATGTTATGAAAAGTTAAAGTAGAGGGAGGACTATAGTATGGTATGGAAAAGTAGAGGGAGGGACTTGAACGATTTGTAAGTAAAGGGAGGAAAATGACCGAAAATTGAAAGTAGAGGGACTATAATTGCCTTTTTAACCCATAAAATAACAAGAATATTCGGCCTTTTTGCACTTGTTGCCCCCTTGGTCAAGATATCAATTCTACCTCCAAGAATTAAAAAATTATTTTTCTAATTCTCTGTTTGGCAATTCTAAAATTAAACTTACTTTTGGTTGACTTGGAGATTTGTTTTGCCAAACAAATCCTGAGATCATTGCGGTTGTGCTACGTTGGCACAGCCAACGGAGACATGTCATCTCTATTTTTTTTGAACAAGGGCAATTTTTTTGGGTAGGAGAAGGGGATTGAACCAGTCCTATGGGCTGCGGAGAAGCACCAATTTTCAATAATCCCAGTGATATAGGGATATTTTTTTTATATTATTTCTTGATATAATTTTTATATGTGTTTAAATAAGTAAATATATTTAATATTATAAATCTCACATAAATTAAAAAAATTAATTATTTAAATGATATGTCAAATTATATAAAAAAATAATTAAAAAATCATCTCAAAATTATTTTCCTGCCAGGTGTGTGTCATCTCTATTTTCATGAGCTGCTGTGTTCGAAATCTAATCTAGAAATTGTTGTTTAATTATTTTTTAGTATTTATAGCCAATTAATTAGATATTTTTAGATTAACTTTCATATATTTTAAAATTAATTTATTTTTAAACAATTTTAAAAATACATTTTTATATTAGTCTGGTATATTAATAAAATAATTATAGCCTATCATCAGACATTTAAAGAAAATCAAAATTTTAAATAATTAACCAAAATAGTTGTCTTTTAATTGAAAACATTAAATTTAATTCCATATATAAAAAAAAAACATTAAATTTCTCTTTTATTCATTCCATGTCACCATAAAACACAACTTCCTTTTTTTTATAAAAAAAAAAAGAAATAAATTATTTTTATAATGCAAAATATATAATTACCTCTTGCATTCAGCAATATTATTCTTAATTTGATTTTTTTAGTGAAAATTTAATATAATATATAAACAAAAATACATTTTTTTAATTAAGTAAAACTACTAAACAAGGATTACATATAAAAAAATAAGATTAGTACTAATCCACTTTATCTCCTAAAGATTAAGAGAAAAATTATTTTAAAATTATGTAATTTTAATAAAATATTACAAGAAAGATAAAAACACTCTAATTTATGCTTTAAAAATAAAATATTTTAATTTTTTTCAATGAGAATTTATTAAAACAATAAAGTTTTAAAATGATTTTTATCCTAATCTTTAAGATATAAGGCGGAAAACTTTATTCCCTAAAAAAATTCAAGTGACATTTATTTATCATATTAAATTTTCATCTAAATTTTTTATCTTAAAAAATCAAAAAGTTAAATTACATAGGACTATTTTTAAAGGGAGAGAGTAATACCCAATCAAGAAAATTCCCAAAATTATAAAAAAAATAAAAATTTAAATTGAACTCACCGAGGAGGTAAAATAAAAAAGAAATAAAAATTAGTGGAAATATAAAGAAATGGCTTAATTTAATAAATATACTCTTAACTGTTAACTTTTTTTTGTTTTAGTTTAGAATTTTTGTTTTTTTTTCAAAATCAGTTATTAATTTTAAAATTTATTTCAATTTTATCTAGTTCAACACAACTCCATTAATTAAATTAACAAAATTTTAAATTTTTTACTGTATGACACTATATAAGCCAGCTTATAAGATGTCACTTGGCCTAAAAATAAGTGAGAAAATTCCTTCATTTCTTATTAGGTTATATGGCAATTTACATGACAACTTATGTGGTACACACAATAAAAAATTTAGAATTTTATCAATTCAATTAATTGAGATGTGTTGCAAATCGGACCTGAGGCCTAATGTTTCGCCCCCAAACCCTAAGGCTTGGGTGAGGTGGATAGAGTTGGGCATTTTTTAATTGAACCGATGATTTATTTGAAAATCGAACCAAAAAAATGAATTAGGTTCGGTTTCAACAGTTTTTGATTTTATTTTTTTGGTTTTGATATTAACCGAATATATTTTGGTTTGGTTTCGATTGAGTCTCTTAAAAATTGAAAACCAAAAATAAAACCAAAATTAGGATAAAATAGATAAAATTTATTAAAATATGATAAAATAGAATTTATTATTAAAAAAATAAATAATTAATATTTATTTAATAAAAACTAAAACCAAATCAATTTCATTGATAAAAATCGGTAACCGAACCGATTAGCTTATAATAATTTTGGTTCGGTTTCGATTCACAAAATTAAAACCAAATTTTTTCGATTAATTCAAAATCGGTTTCAATTTTAGACCAAAACCGGTTTTGCCCACCCCTAGAGATGTAGGTCAAGGCTTTGAACCTTACTGCCGCCGTGAACTCTACCAACTTGCGGCCTAATACCGTGCGCCTCATTTGAGGGGTGGAATGTTTACTATTCTGGGAATCTTAGTTGCTAACAACTAACTCTTACTAATTTTCTAACCATTACCCTTGTCAAAAAAAAAAAAATTGAGATGTGTTGAAATAGATGAAATTGAACTAAATTTGAAAGTTAATAAATGATTTTGAAAGAAAATAAAGATTTTAAACTAAAATAGAAAAGGTCAATAATTAATAAACCATTTATTAAATTAAGCCATAAAGAAATAGATAAAACTAAAAGGACCGACAGATGCAAAACCGCCTTTATGTAGACCCCCTTGTGGCGTCAGAAGTCTCCGAACCGTGTGAACTCTCTCTCACTACATTTTTCCTTGCAGATTTCGCACCCTAATTTTATTTATATATTTTTAGTACTTTTCTTTTTCCCTAAAGCAAACACCACTATTGAACCAAACAATCCCTCTTTTTCAGTTCTCCCCATTCCTTCGTCTTCTTTGCTTTGGGGTTTCGTCTCTCCCCTCTGTAAATCCAACCCTAAATCTCTCATCCCTATTGCATGCTCTCTACTTTGGATGTGTAGCCGTCCATCGCTCTTCTCCCTCTTCTCTCTCAGGTACTGCCGCCTCTTTTTTCTGTCTCCGGTTTTGATGCTCTCGATATGTGATCTGTTTGGGTTTTTCTTTGTGTTTCGAAAAAATCAGCGATTTGGGTTAGTTTAGACTTTAGATTTTGATTGTTTGGTTATCTTTCCATTTTTTTTCCGATTCTTGATTGCTGTTTATTTCGGTGCTGGAAACTCGAGAAGTTGAGTGAGATGGCGAACGTGAGATCGAGTTTGCCGTCGAGGCTGCGCCAGCTGTTGGCTGGTGAAAGCACAATCGGTCCTTCTATCAAATTGGACTCTGAGCCCGTGAGTTTTTTTTTTTTTTTTTTTCCAATCAATTTTGTTTCATCAGCGGTGGTGTCTGACTTTTTTGTGCTTCCCGTGCAGCCTCCTAAAATTAAAGCATTCATTGATAAAGTGATACA